TGCTTCAAATGCAATAAATCACAAAAACCATTGTTTACGATAAGTGGTATCTGATTGCTGTTAGAACCCGTGTTTATTGCTTTTGTGCATTATGGTCTCTTGTAATTTGGACAGCCAGAAATTGTATTCCTTTATGCAGTGCGTAGGAAGGGTTTGCAAGGAGGGAAGCATCTGTAATTATGCTGCCAAGGAGTGGGGCCCGGCGCCTCTGAGGAGCAGGAGATGTGCTTGCCTGTTTGCCATTGTAGGAGCTGCTCCTCGGCCTTCCCGTTTTGCCAGCTCTTGGAAGCCCGCCGGCTCCAACAGAGACCCGAGAAGGGGAGCACCAGCAGGAGGAGGGCCCGGAGCCCCAAAGTGTCCCAGGGAGCAGAGAGTGGGCGGGCTGGGAGGGCAGCCACCAGCAGCTCCACGGGAAGCTGGGCCAGTGGTTGCCCTGGCAGCTGCCTTAGACGGCCCCACAAGTTCCTTCCCCCGTTCGGGCCCGGCCTGGGCTCTGTCAGCGCCGGCTGGCAGCAGGCGTCCAGAACAGCCGATGGCAGAATTTCTGGAGGTCTGTCTGCAGGGTTTGAGAGGCTCCTTGGTGGCGTGGCCTGGGTTTTGCTCACAGGGTGCACAGCCGTCATCAGTTAGTGAGCTGATGCCGCTTCAGTTCTTTGAGGCGTTTTGGAAGGAGAGGCGGTGTCTGGATCGTTCTTGTGGATGCTAGGAAGAGGGTCTGCTTGCTTTCTCGTTGACACAGACCTCGCTATGCCTCTCCTTCTGCTTTTGCTTCCGCCGGTTTCCCCGGCCCTTTCCTGTCTGCTTCACAGGTGCAAACCTCCCAACCTTCAAGTTCCTGCACCTCCATCAGCTTCCATGAACTTCCCCTCCAGCCTTCTTAGCCGCAGCAGAACTGCACCAGCATCACCCTGGTCCCTAAAGTCTAAAGACGAGGGTCTCTTTCCCTGTCCCTCAGTGCGAGCCCAACACACAGAGGCACTGGGGGCCATCAGCTGCCAACTCTTACGAAGCTCATCCGGATGTTTCCCCAAACCATGCCTCTTCCTCATTCCTGCCATCGTGGCCTGGGCAAGGCTCTCGCCATTCTTGGCAGGCCCACCTCTGAACCACTCACCTGCATGCCGGTGCTCTGGGACCTGGTGTTCAGGGCCACGTCTGCTCCCTGCCCCTCCTCTCATGGCCCCCATTTGCCTCCTGCTTCCTCCCTCCATTCCCATTCCCTGAGATGTTTCCTCTGCCCCTTCTTCTCCTCGTTGCCATTTCTGGAGACAGCTCGGGCACCATTCCTCTCCTGAACGCATCTTCCATCTGTGCCTGGGGCCCATGGGAGACTCCCACCTCTGCGCCCACAACACCTGTGTTTTTCTCTGTGGTGACACACTCACAGTGTCTTCTCCCAGTGTCCAGCACAATGGCTGGCCCATAGGATGCCTTCTGTAAATGAGGACCAGATGCAAGTGGCGCGAACATTCCAGAACACAGCAAGTGCAGAGTTCACGGAGGCACCTGCTGTGTATTGGCTGAGGGCTGTTCAACGACAGCTCCTCCGTGAACCCCACTCCTCTGCAGGTGGCAGCCTGTGTGTCAGACAGCCCACCAGGCAGGCGCTGCTCTTTCCTGTCTCCACGAGGGCTGAGCACTCAGTCCGGACAGCACTAGATCTGAGGAGCTCCAGCCCCCAACATGTGCTTGAGTATAAAGCACATGTTTCTCAGGGGTGGTTCTGTGAGGGAGGGAGGGAGTGAATGAGGGAGGCTGGGAGAGAATGAACTTGTGAATGAGTGAGTGACAGCATGAATGGGTGAAAGTGTGAGTGAGTGCATGAAGGAGAGAAGGAATGAGAGTGAGTGCAGGAGGAGCTTGGGCTGACCTGTGGATTGATGTTTGTCACTCGCAATGGATGGTGCTGGTCCAGCATGCTGAATTATGGCGGTAAATGAGTAGGTCATGATTCTGATGTCGGGGGTTCTGGTCGGGTCGCACAGGCCTGGCTCCAGCTAGACACAGAGCTGGACAGCAAGGTCCCTCCCATCTCAGGAGGGTTCTCCTAGGTGAAGATCCCACCTGCCCTGCCCTGCCCAGCCTGGCTGGCTGGCTATGCAGTGTAGAAGTGGGGAGAGAATCCGAGGCTCCACCTGCAGAACACACCTGCTTCTGGGGCCGTGGGCACCTGCTGGGCAGGGCCTGGGAAGGGCTGACCAGGAGCAACTGGTCACACGGCCCCCTGCACACAGCCCAGCAATTGCACTTGTCAAGGCCAAGTGTCATGATTTCAGATTTGTTTATTTAATGCACAGAGATGCTAAATGGGTAAGCTCACTGCCAGCACCAAGGTTCAACATGGACGCGTTCCCTTCTCTTCCCCTTCCATCCACACAGCAGCCCCTCAGAGGACAGCCCACGTGGCTCGGCTTTTGCACAATGGCTCAGCTAGATTATGGCTGTCTGGGCCTCGGACCTCTCCGCGTACCCCCTGACCACGGACGCCTGTGTCCCCCTAGGGACGCACAGCCTGAGCTAACAGCTGCTCACAGCAAGGGCCTTGGATGTGACCGATCGGCAGGTCCATGCTGCCTGGTCTGGATGTGGGGGAGGCCAAGGAGGCCTGAGTGAACAGACCCCGGCTGACACGGCGCCCCACCCCCACACCAGCCTGGGCTAGGGTAGGACAGGGATGGAAGGGCATCTCCCAGGCCCTGGGCACAAAAGCAGGTCTCGCATACGGGGGGGTCCACACAGGTACATCCGAGCAGGGCTTGGGGAAGGGGAGGCGGGATGGGCGCAGGTGGGCTGGTGAGTGACGTTCCTGGGAGCGGGAGCTCTGTGAGAGCCTGTCTGTCACAGGAAGTGCAGGGCTAGCCCCTTTGTCTGCTGCCTCACAGCTCAAGGCCACGACGTCCAGAGACAGAATTTGTGCAGACAACCACGGGGGAGGCACGGCGGTGCCCGTCCTCAGTACCCACTTCTAGCCCAGACGCCTGCCATCTGCTGACTCCTTCTTCCTTTAAACTTGGAAGTATAAGCAATTTGACAGAAAATGTTCAGAAAGAACCTAATGAATATAACATTGGAAAGTACCAGCCTCTCCCAAACCTTTCCCATCTCTGCAGCAGGCAGGCGCGGCAGGGACGCAGGGCTGCCTCATGCTTGCTTTCTCCTAATGACATTTCATGTCCGCGTCTCCCAGTGTCACCAGAGCCCACGGCAGGTGCCACAGTCACCCAGGGCCCCGGTGATGGGGACAGAGTTTGCTCATCAGCTCCTTGGAGAAAACTGGCCCACCCCAGCCTTGCATCCCCAGTACCCAGACCAGGCACCACCCAGGGCTCCGCAGGCCACTTCCCAGGCCCTCGCTCATGAGCCGTTGCTCTTGACATAGAAGAGTGAGGTAGGTATTTTTGTTTGACTCTGTCAGCTTCTATGGGGACAGGTCATTTTTACCCCTGGGGCTTAGTTTTCTTGTCTGTAAAATGGGGATGATGAGAATGTCTATGTCGCAGAGTCCTTGTGCGAGTAAATGAGATGGTGGTTGATAGTAAACACTCAGTAAAGAATGGCATGGAAGCCATCATGACAGTAGAGATGATGATAATGATGATGATGGTTCAGTGAGCTGGAGGCTTAGACTAATAGCTGTTAGAAGCCTCTCCCTGGCTAGTGAAGGCCCTGACTCGGCCATATCTCCCCTCCTCAGCCCCTCCGAGGGGGTCCAGAGTGGAGAAGACGTGGGAAGCAAGCAGGGACTCCCTTCCCCAGATTACCTTAGTCCTGTACGCATCGCAGAACCTCCCCAGGAGATCCGTTTTTATCTTTGGTTGATAGTTAATAATAATCATACCTGTGTATGGGGCCCCACGTTCTGCTCCACTGTGTACAACAGTAGTGATTTTTTTTTTTTGACAGGCAGAGTTAGACAGTGAGAGACAGAGAGAAAGGTCTTCCTTCCGTTAGTTCACCCCCCAATTGGCCGCTACGGCTGGCGCACTGCACCGATCGGAAGCCAGGAGCCGTCAGAAGCAGCCAAAGCGTTCAGTCTCCTTTCAGCTCTTGGAGAAATCTTTCCCTGGGCCCTGGACTGGGGAGCCAACCTAGCTGGGAGGGCGCAGAGTAATCATAACCCCCTCTGGAGTTACCCAGCCAGGAGTTGCATGGGGAGTAGGGCAGGGCTGGAGACCTCCCAGGCTCCTTGCCATTGTCAGTGACCACCCCAGGAGAGGGCAAAAGTTAAATGCATGCCCGCAGGCAGAGCACCAAACTGGTGGGGTAGGGTGGGAGTGTGCATTGTATTAATTTTGTCAGGTTCAGCCCCTGCAGTTTTGTGGGACCATGGGCAAGTGTCAGCTTTCCAGGACCTGATTTGCTTAATCTTCAATGGGCGAGCAGGAGGGAAAGGAGCCTAAAGGGGCCTTTCTGTCTGGCCTTCCGTGACTCATCAACTACGTAAGACAAAAATGGAGCCTCGGGAGCTGGGGAGGGGTGAGAGAGAGAACCAGGTACCCTGTGCTTGCTCGTGTGGGACCCCAAGGAGTGGACTCCCTGAGATTCCCCACTCCTTCCTGAGGCCAAGCTGAGGCCACCACCCTGCCCCCCATCCCTGGGCCCTGAGACCATGGCACAGCCGCGTACAGCGGGACAAATTCCACGAGTCTCTGAGCAGACTCTCTTCCCAGCGCCTCGGGGCCAGCGCGCTACTGTGTGGCTGCATTGCAGCTTCCCCCAGCTTTAAGGTCACTTTGCCATGCATTTCCTCTTAGTACAACACACGTCCCCATCACAGATCTCTCTTTCAGCAAAAGGACCCACAGTCACAGTAATGACAGCCCCGAGGAAAGTTCAGTCGGTCTTCATCTCTCTTTCCGACTATTGTCGCTGGAAATGTTACATTATCATAAACCAGAATTCAGAGACCTTCAACCATTGTCATTTTGCCTCTGTACACAAATTTTTGCCTACATTTTACCAAGACCCCCCCCCCCCGTTCTTTCTCTCTGTGTTACGTGGAGATGTCCTGGACAGGGAGTGAAGCTCTCTGCCCCTGCGCTGCCCCGAGCTTGCTGTGCCGGCTGGTGCTGCGCACCTGCTTCTCTCTCTCATCCATTCCACTGCTCTGCTCCGTGCTCTTGCCTGCAGCAGCGCCGTCCGACCTGCTGGAGCTCTGTGTGCTACAGTCCTGTGCCAGGGAAGAGCCCGGTGGGCTGTGGGCCAGGTGCTGGGGCTCCCTGCAAACACCAGGCTTCTCCATTGTGCCGCCCTTCAGCTTGCTTGTTCTAAGGTTTGTTTTGATTACAAGTTTGGGTTATGTTAGGGATAAAAGAAAAATTGCTGTGTCTCATTTGAAGCGCCTAGGAGAGATTTTACACTTTTGAAATCCGATGGGTGGGTGGAATGCGTTTTCACAAAGCTTGGATCATCCTTGCAGGGTGGGCTTCCAGGTTGTCTCCCCACACCATGGGCTGGTGGTAGCTCTGGCTGGACCCAAGGAGATGAGAAACCCAAGGCCCAGCCCCCGGGGAGGGGACGTCATCTCACCCAGACCCCTAGCTTTTATTCCTGACTCCCTGTCAACTCGTTCTACAGGGTATAACGCTATCCGCCTGCTCAGGGCCAGGCTGCAGAGGCGCCAAATGGAAGAGCCCCCTTCTCCTGTCTGGTGCATGGAGTTTACACAGCAAGCCCCATCCCACAGAGGTGCAGGGCCTGTGGCTGAGGGCACTGGCCTGGACTCAGCCGCCTTCCTAGTCCCCAAGGAGCCACCCACGGGAGCAGGTGTTGGAGCTGTGTCTGGAGAGCCAGGTGTCAGCACCTGCCTGCCAGGGCCAGTGATAGGACACGAGGTGGGGACAGGTCTCGAATCTGGCGGGCCAGAGGCGTGCTGAACTGTCTGGCATCCCCACGCATGCTGGCTCCGTGGCCGGCGCCAATTTGCATTTTGTTCAGCAAACTCAGAACTCCAGCGACTCGCCATCTGCCTGCCGCTGGCTGGTGGCCACACAGGGAGCCCGGGTGGACGGACGGGGGCTGAGGACCCAAGCTCCCTGGGGAGAGCTGGAGAGGGCTCAGGTACTCTCCAGAGCAAGTTTTCCAGCCCCTCTTCTGATCCTTCCTCCGTTCTGAAGCAAAGGACGTAAACGCCAGGTTACGCGGGGTTCTTGCCAGCACTGAGAAGGGAAACCAGTGAATGCGCGAGTCCCATTAAGAAAATCCTAAAACGTGGGCCTTATCACCACCACAGCATAATGCAGTGACGATGCCCACCCGAACCTCCCGGGCCACCCAGCATCCCTTCCCGCCAAGGCTGGCAAGAACGAACCGCTGCTCCTGCTCCAAACGGCTGTCACATCCGAGTCGGCTGCTTTCCCTGGCCTGGAGTTCCCGCAGTGAATGTCCAGTCTGAATGGACGCAGCTCTCTCCCTCCTCCCTCGTCCAGCTGCCTCTGCAGTATTCAGTGCAACAAAGCATCGCGTGGACGCCTACTGTGTGCAGGGTTTGGGTCGGAGGCGCTGTAAACTACCCAAGTGCTCCCAGGCCAGTCCATCTCTTTGCAGAGCCAATGGGCTGGGGAGGGAGCGGAGATTTATAGGCCAAGGCTGCCGGCCGACCTTGTCCGCGGCAAAGACTCATTTCAGCACGCTTCTCTTCCAAGCGATTATTTGCTGTTTGTGCCGCTTGGACTTGGCACGCGTCTGCGATTCCTTTCACCGAAGAGGAGACAGGAACCTTGAAGTGAGTACTTATCTCATAAAGAGAAGGTGGCGACGGCAGCTTGTGCCTCTTTGGGGCGCTTGCCTAGACACCTTCGGGCTGCTCGGTAATGATAATGAACTTTTTAGGAGCCCGCTTCACTCTGCCAAGGCCCTCCCTTCCCCCCGCCTCCTCCTGACACCTCTGTGAGACAGGTGGAGATGCTGGCATCCCCTCTGCTTAGAAAAGAAAGTCGGTGGCAGAGCAGGGAGATGGCACATGTGTGTGCCCAGTGCTGTGCTAGGGAGTGGCAGAGCCGGCCTGAGCCCAGCTGCCTGCTTCCTCATCTGCCACTCTTAGCGGCAGAGCAGGAAACACACAGGGACAGGGCTAGGAGCTGCTGTGCCCCCCCCCCCCCGGCCCCGTTCCGGACTGGTGCCAAGGCCGAGGGGAGAAGCAGGCAGCGGCAGCTGAGAGTCACGGTGATGGATGTTCGCAGCCCATGGGTGGGTGACCCGCGCGTGCACTGGTGCCAGGGTGGCTGCGCACAATGCTGGCAGGCCAGGGGCCCCGTGTCACATTTCAGCCACAGGACCTCAACCCAAGCCCAGGGAGGAAGAGCTTGCGTGCCCATGTTTGTGGCCCTCAACTCAGAGAGGGGCTGGGGCGGGTGCGGGTGCAGGCTACCTCTCTGGTTGTGTCTGTGCTGTGTCTTTGCTGGCCTTGCCAGCTCTCAGGACAAGCAGTGCCATGTGTCCCTTCCAAGGCTCTGCTGAGAAAACCGGGTTTAAGAGGCAGAGTTTCCGAAGGACTTTGCAGAGAGAGGAGTGCAATTGGTTCGAAAATGTCGCAAGAAAACAAGAATCTCCCAGTTTCCTTGCTTCCCAGCAAAGAACTGGAAGGCATTTTCCAAGCGGGAAGGGAGGAGGCCATTTAGATCGGCGAGGTCTCTTCTTTGAAAGCAATTTTACTCCCTGGGTTTTTTGTTTTGTTTTTTTTTTTTTAAATCCAAACTGTTTCAGACTTTGGTTCTCAGCTGGATGACTTAGGGAACTCCAGAATTTGCTGGCATTCTGGTTGTCAGAATGTATACGGTGGCTTTAATGAGTGTGATTCATTTTTGAAAGATTTCCCTGAGCCAGGCGAGCACCCCCAAGTGCAGCCTCAGCGCTGGTGCTTGGGAGAGGGACCATGCACTTGACTTCAAGGTGCTGGGAGCTAAGTATTCCCGCCTAGACACAGAGGAGGGAGGCAAGCAGCAGAGGAGATGTGGGCTCAGGCCAGACCTATGCCCGGAATAGGAGAAGTTGCCCTCTGTTCTCTGCTCTGTCACCCACGGCTTGTCCTCAAGCCTGTGGGGCCAGGAGTGCAGCAGAGACCTCTGGGCGTGGGCCAGGAGAATGCCTTTCGCCCTTGCTTTCTGCCACACCACGTGGCATCAGACCATGGCATTTCAGTTTGATGCCGTCAGAGCCTTGGTCTGAGGGGAATGTCTGTGTGCCTGGGTCCCTGGGCCAAGAAGAAACAGTGCCCGGAGCCTCCTGGCATCTGCTCCTGCCCCGTCTCCCTTCCTCTCCTGCAGGACCAGCAGCCAAGGCACAGTTCCTTCCGGCCCCAGCTAAGGGGGCAGGCGGTGCAGGGCAGGCCTGGACCCCAGTCTGTGGCTTGCATGTCCAGCTGAGGCTCAGCTTTGGCTCTGAGAAGCACGAGAGACAGCACCAGGCAGCACTTCCTGGCCCAACCCATGCCCTTATGCAGGGTGGCGGGCTGCAGAGCAGGGTCCCCCAACTATTTTTAGAAAGCTATCAGGTGCTGCCTTCTCCCACCTGTCTGGGTTCCTGTGTCTCAGTCCTGGGCCTGCCTGTCCTGCCCAGGAGTCTGACTGTGGCCTGGAGCTGGTGCAAAGCTCCCTGTCAATGGAGCCCAGCCGTTCTCCTTGGCCTTGCCTGGCCATGGCAAGTGATGTCTCTGAGATCCTGGGGCCTGCGCCTGCTTAGTCTTTGGGAGCACAGATGTTGGGCACTAATCCTTGCCCTCCTCTGCTTCCTGCAGATGCCAGGAGGTATAAGCAAGTCGGGCAAAATCTAAAATCGGGAGTGCTGAATTACTGAGCAGAAGTACCCAGGGCCTGGGCTCCCCCAGGGAGCCTGCAGCTGGACAGAATCCATTACCCACAGATGTGAACAGGGCATGCAGAGGCAGCTCCATGGAGGGGGTGGTGCGGGAGCTGGCCTTGAAGGACAGGCAGGGGACAGGTGGTCAGGGACAGCGGGAGGGATGGTATCGTGGGCAGAAGGGTTCCCAAAGCTGCACGCTTAGCCTGGAAGTGGGGCAGCTGGAGGTTGACCAGGAACCTGGAGGAGATTGAAGCAGAGGCCTCTGCAGGACCAGGGAGAAGAGCCTGGGGGGCACAAGGTGGTGCCTGCTGGGCGAAAGCCTCAAATGCCAAGGTCAAGGGCTGTGAGACAGGGTGGGTGACCAGGTGGCTGCTTTGCTCCCTGCCCATGAGATGTCCTGGGATCACAGTGCAGTGGCAGCTTGGGGCACCATCTCTGTGACTTGCTGCCCACACCCCAAGTCTCCCGTGTGTGGTGGGCTGGGGCGGCCTGGTCGGCCGCTGAGAGTCCATTCTTGCCTCTCTCCCAGCTCTGTGGACAGTGGTATTAAGGCTACCCTTGAAATGGCCACGGCGGGAGCTCATGTACAGCGGAGCTGGCGAGCACGTGGAACTGGGGTCCCCAGGGTCTCTGCTTGTTTGCTTGTGTGCAGTCCACCCCCAGAGCCTGATGTTAACCATTCACCAGCACAGCTGTGGGCAGTGCGGAGTCCCGGAGGGGGGATATGGTCAGAGGAGCCAGAACCACACTGAGCAGGCTCAGCATGGTCTGCTGTGGACCTGTGGCGGAGGCCGAGTGCAGACGGGGGCCTCAGCCGTTTGCTGGCCCATCCTGAAACCAAACCCTGCAGCCGGGTTGGGAAGGTCTCCCACAGTCCTCATGCAGAGGAAACACATGCAGCCTGCCCTTGGCTTTGGCAGCTGACCGGCCTCACCTCCTGGTGGGGTAGCCCTTAGTGCTTCAAGTGCCATGTGCCGAGGGCAGGCACCTGTGGCCTCACCCGGTACAGAAGCCCTCGGGCAGCCTACCAGGCACCTGTGTGGTTCCATCCAGGAAATGCAGGCCTATGTGTAGCCTCCCACAGAGCAGCCTGCCTGTGCAGAGACAGGCTGATCAGGGCCTCGGCGTGCAAGCTAGAGTCCCTTACTGCTGAGTCTCCTTGGCCCTGACTGTGTGTAGAGAGCAGCAGGATTCGTGGAAGGTTGTGAGTCACAAAGCACTTACTCAGCAAAGACTCCTCACAAGCCCTAAGCAGTGCTCCCCTCATAGAGATGAGAAAACTGAGGGCCTCGGTGCTCAGCTTACATCCCAAGGCTCCAGGGGAGCGACTGGCAGAGCCTGGCCTTGAACCGGCTCCCCGGGGGGCCCTGAGTCCTGAGCTGGCCACTGGCACTGAGGGCTGCAAGGCTGTTGGTCCCCAAGCGACATCGAGGTCCTGTGGCCACTTCCAGATCCTACACCATCGCACCACGGCTCATTTCTTACAAATGGGCGGGGCCATGGGGATGCCGGACTGTCGTATGTGTCACTCTTGGGGGAAGGGAGGGACCTGGCTTCTTAGAGCTGTTGTATTTTATTTTTCTGTCAAGAGGAAATTAATTTTAGTCTTTCTTTTTGGTTTAAAATGTTGTTCTTTGCTTTTTTTTCCGCCCTACAATTTAAAAGGAAACATTTGTCTGTTGAGAAAAGAAATGATAATTATAGGCTAAAAATTGTTTCTATTCTGATTTGAAAAAGTGACACACACACACACAAAAATTCCATCCCACAGATGGGGTCCTGCTGACAGAGGGTGTTTAGCAATGAGGGCCCAGGCCACTGTGGGGGCTCAGAGTGGCGTGCGCGGTGGGTTTGGGCCTCTGTGGTGTTGGGGTGGGGGGCTGTGTTTGGAAGGGATTTTGCTCCCAAATGCACGCAGATGCTCAAACCCCGGAGCTCATGGTCTGAAGGGGATGGAAACTTGACTGCGGCGCTGTGGTGATGAGAACTGGGCCTGGCAGGCGGTCCCTGGGCCACTGGGGCGAGCCCTGGGGAGCTGGTTCTCTCTAGCAGGTGGGTCATACAGGTGTGGGCCCAGCCTGTCTCCCCACTTCCTGGCTTGCCTATGCTTCTTCCTCTGCCACCCCCAGCAGACGCCAAGCCCGTGGGGCTGCCTGATCTTGGACTTGAACCTTCAGAGCTATGAGCTGCATCAACCCTCTCCCTTTATGAAGTCAGCTTCTCTCAGGAGTTCTGCTGGAGTCACGAAAAGTGACCGGTACAGGCTCTTGGGGTGGGGCAAGGGACCGTGTGTGCCGTGTCTCCATTTCCAGTGCTAATCGTGAGCTAGTTCCCGTGGGGTCTGCACGTGCTGTGCCCTCACACAGTTCATCAGTGGGAGGAAGAAGGGGTGTCCATGGCTGACGTGGCCCATGGCCGTGGGCTGTGTGGATGTCCAGGCCAGGTGCTCCCTTGCCTGGCCCCTGAACCCGCAGAGCCATTAGCCTTTTTTCCCTTCACTGAGACTTTTTCTTTTTGGCCTCACAAAATTACAGTTGCTCCAATTCCTTGGATCAATAAAGCAGGAAACTGATTAGACTGTGAAATTAAACTAATAATGTCACACTATTAACCTTCAATCAATGGGGAATGAGCTCCAAGTGAAGGCAATTTCCTAAATCCATATTACCCTTTGCATACGTGTATTTACTTTGGGGAGAAATCCTGGGAGTACACACCCCAGACCACCTTTCCTGCCAAGGCAGCGTGATTCTCAGGGCTATCTCTGCAGCCGCCCTGGTAGTACCGGGCGTGTGTGTGTGTGTGTGTGTGCGCGCGTGCACACACACACGCGCGCATGGGCATGTGTACATGCATGTGTGTGTGTGCACGTGTGCACATGTTTGGGAAGCAAGGCTATCAGGGAAAGCCAAGTCTGCAAGTTGG